CGTGTCAGCGTCAGCGTTCTCCTATTATGAAGATATGTTTTCTTTTTAAATTGTAGGAAATTAGAGGCTGATAAAACATGATATAACTCAAAAGCAAGCACAATTTGATGCAAATAGATGTTTGTGACATAACCCCAAAATAGAGCGCTGACACGGAGAAGTAGAAAACTATGACAATCAAGGGGGCCATAAAGGCGCCCTACAATTGTAGGGACGACTGACGATACGGGCCTTAGACCTCTACAGAGTTGTTCTTGTACCACGCCAAAAGATTTACAGAATCTCGAAAAATACTCAAAAATGAAACTTAGCAACATGAAATTTTAATTTCTCCAAACGTTACTTCTCCACCACTGGAATGATATCCAAAACCATCAAGGCTTTTTCGTCATTAGGATAATAATAACATTGTGTCAAACTGTCATCAAAGTTTAAAGTTTTTTATAAATAATCGAAATGGTGGTGTTTCCTCCTTTTTTCATTAACAAATAAATAAAACACGATAAATAAAATCAAATGGTGAGTCAATGCAAAACAGCTGTCTACAGACGTGCAAATTTAAGCTCTAGCTCAATAAAGTGGAGAGGAGGGGAGGTTAAGAGCACCAGTGACTCAAGATGGATTAAGCCACAACTCCCCGAGATGTTAGTCGGCACTTGTTTTGTTTGACCACCCACACAAAAGAAAAGGGTATTATAGCAATGCCGCAAACTAATTTATTGTACAGAGAGCGAAATGAAACAAGGTATCCAAAAAGGTCACAATATATTAACCAATTAAATAACACCACCACCGGAGTGCAAGTTAAAAAAACAATTATCATGGTACCTATACGCACGAAGGTTTTACAAATATTTTAGCACGTAAACCTAAACTTATCTGGATAGTTGTCTTCTTCCAGTCACGGCTCTAGGAACAGCCGAGATGGCCTCAGCCCACAGAAGCTCAGGTTTTTTGGGCAAAACCAGTGGCCAGTAGTGGATAGTGATGTAAGGAACTCACGAAGTATGGGTCGCTTGTCTCGTGCTCAAAATCAACCATGTAAAAGAAACCCTAGAAAAAGCTATTCTCTATTCTTTTCATGAGTTAAGGCTAGTCATATAAACAGTCGAGCTTGAAAACCCACGCAGATTTCCAATAAAAAAAAGTACAGCAAAGACAATAGAAAGAAAAATGTATTAATGTAATACACCATCAAAAACTTATCCCTTGTTGTAAAAAAGTTATCGCAGCACGAAAATCAAAATCTTGGTCAATAAAATGGAGTAAGCTCAATAGAAGGTGCCAATGTGGGCGCTGCCCCATATTTGTACATGAAAAATTCCAGACAAAATAAATCAACAAACATCGATATATAAATGTTTATAAAAGAGCTAATCCATATCATATTTTACCTGTTTACTTCAGGGTTTTTTTCTCAAGGGAAAGTGGTGGTTTCCAGCAAAACCGTCTACGAAACAGCTACAAAGCTGGAGGAGTGCAGATGATGGTTTTGCTCAATGCCTTTCCCTTAAACGGAAGCAGATGCTGAGAAAACCTCTTCTGGACGTGCATTAATGCTCATGGTTAGATGGTATAAAAAAAGAACTTACCGCTGAAGAGGTTAGAATTCCATAAAAATGGAGAGAGTAGCACCCAAAGAACAACCAACACAAACAACTAAACGTAAGGTAGATACAAAAGGGGTACTACACCATAAACTGGTGACTGGGGTCCAATATCCCAAAATTTGGAAATCAAACGATGACCGACACACCTTTTTAACTCAGGTTTCAGCAGAAAATGTCCGCCAGTCAGTTGATTGTTAACGTCAAAAATAGGAAGACGCTGGTTGCCTATGGGTGGACCCTAGAAAACTTACTTTAAGAGGGACCAACGATAATTTGAAAGGAAATTTCTGGAGTAATCATTGATAAAATATTATAACATCAGTGTCCGAAAGATTTCAACAAAACAACTGAGTCGCTAAGAAAGAAAGATGTAATATGTGTGAAATCATACTTTCAGGATTAGGTTGTTTCAAGTTCAACAGATCAATAAGTCTATATATACCCTTAATAAAGACAAGTTCAAATTATTAGTAAGTTATTGAAATAGTAGAAGAAAAGATTGATCTTTTTGTGATGTACAGGTCATGAATTTTTGTAATAAACCAGTAGATTGATTTTTTTGTGATGTACAGGTAATGAATTTTGGTAATAAACCAGTGCCAATTATTTCTCTGTGAATTATAGTGGGAAGTTAAAATTAGGTGTAATCCATTGATTCCTGGACATCTGAGAACCTTTTATTAGTTCACAAGTGTACAAAAAAGGTATATTTTTCACGAGTATTCTTAAATGTATATGACTCTTATTGAAGAGGATTTCAGAGTCATTATAAGCTTCTTCAATAATAAAATATTAACAATCAATTATAAAAAAATTTTATATCTGACTTTTTCATGTGATGATAGGAACAGTCCTACATTCAATAACATACACATCAAATTACCATCCATAGATGAAGTAGTAGTCCTAAAGCCAGCAAATCATATAAAATACCTAGGAATCATAATAGATAGCCACCTAAAATGGGACAAACAAATAAAAAGCTTAACGAAGAGATTAAGATGTCTTATAGCAAAATTTAAATTTTTTTGGGAAATTCTTTGTGATAAAGACTTATGCACCATATAAAAAACGTTAGTACAACCGTTGTTAACTTATGGAATTTTGGCATGGGACCGGTGTTGAATAAATACTACAGGAAACTAGAAATGGATTCTTAAAATCATGTTCCACAAAACTAACACCTATCCAACCGATATGATATATAAGGTATCCAAGATATGTGATTCTAGGCAACTCTATTTTGAGATTGTGTTCACATATATTACAAAACATAAGTATTTATTAAATTTCCTTCCACATGACCATCACACCAGATCCAAAGATCATTCAGTACGCATACCAAAGCCTAAAAAGACCATAGGTCAGAGGAGTTTCACTTTCCTAGGACCAAAAATATATAACTTAATCCCCCCTCAGATAGGAGATGTTAAAAATACAAAGGTTATGAAAAAGCATCTAAGACTGTGGATTTTGGACCAGCATAGGCACAAGATTCATCAAGCGATTGATATCAAAAATATCTACTACTACTGAAAGCGGAAATCTCTCTCAAGAATATTGAAATTTCAATTTTAAAAAAGAAATGTATAAATCAAACTGATTTGAACTCTGACCTCCTGAATTATTGCATGTTATGACTTATTTTTACCAATTTTTGTTCTTGTCTAATCACCTAATATTGTCTTTTGTTTAAATATTGTTTCTATCCCGATTGCGTCTACGTCCCGATTTTGCGTCTCCGATTGTGTCATTGTGTCTCTTTAAAAATTTTACCAGGACTTGTCTAATAAATTATATATATATATATATATATGTTTTGTTTTTTTTAGTCTTAAGTTATTTATACATGAGCTCATGCCCAAGCACAAGTTTCTGCGAAACTTTTTTGGGTCCATTCGTTTATTGTATAATATTGTCTTTCATCTACTACTGCTATACTTTTTCTTTTGCAATAAACTTATTATATTATGGAAGCTAAGCTGCACCAGTGAAGCCATTTTCGCCTAGTGCGGGATATCTTATCCTAAATAATTGGATGTGGCACATCTGTTCTGGCTTTAGCGAGGAAAGTCTTATCTCAAAGAAACGTACCACCCAGCATATGGTGAAAACTAGGTTACATACACATGTTGTTTGCTTTTCTTTCAGAATGCTTGTGCACCTGTACACCACTTTTCTTGACCGTGGAATAAAGCTTTGAAAGAGAATTTAATAGATAGGGAGCTGCCAGTAATATTACAAACATTTTACAGCAACCAGCGCCATTGTCAAGGCACAGAAAAAGTGGGGGAGCAAGAAAATATTCACAAATCTTTCACTGATGTTTGACAGGTTGTGTCTACGTGAAAAATAGTCATATCGAAGTTTTAAAAAACGCTTCATAATTCTAGTATTTAGATTTCTCAAAACAAAAAATCTTACTGTCACAGTTCTCACGCTTTTTCATTATACTTTCCAGGCCCACTAGCGAGGAAGTATTCTAATGAAAAAATTTCGAAAATTATAGATTATTTTTTTTTTGATGTTATATGACATGTACAATACGAAAAACAATGTCATTTCCGTCAGTCTGTCCGTAATTCTTGACCTGAAACTAAAGTACCAGTCGGATTTTGATGCTATCTTTACACAAAATTACTACTTTGTCTGTAACGAAAACGGTATATAGTTTTTGAAAATCAATCCAGCTAGCGGCACAAAAGTAAAAAATAAAAATCGCTTAATCTTCGTTCTTTGACGTTTAACAGGGGATTCTGACTATTTTGGAAAAAAAATTTAGGGTTGAAAAATTGGGCCTCCACACCTATATATCCTACTCCACTCATCACTTTCCCATACATTTATCCTCAAAATTTGAAATCATGGAGAAATATCTTCGACCCCCGCGTGTCGATAACCCGAGCTTCGCGGTCCCGCCGCTACCCTCTTGCTTTCAAAACGTAACACGCTGTCATTTGTAAACTTGACACTTAAGGGTGAGAAGTAATAAAGGCATATTTAATTGATATAGCTAAATAAAAAATAAGAATACGTTTTTTACTCTTTGGTATTCATGTCAAATAACAATTTTAATGATTTCTCTCTAACTTACAAATGAGGAGGTGATCTGAAAACTGCAGTCTTTGAAATTTCAACGTTTTGAGATAAAGACATTCTTTTAAGGTGCGTAAATGGAGAAGTAGAATGCTAAGCCAAACATACCACCTCAAATTTCAGAGACAACGAAATGGTTACACTAACCTGCTGGAATCTGGTCCTTAAAGGTTTGCTGACTAACACAAAAAAACAAGCAAAAAACCGCATTTTGATTTTCCACATCTATTAAAACTGCGTTTTGAAAAACCAATCTATTCATATGAAACATAAATGAAACGGAAAGTTGTATAATTATATTTTCAAGCCAATGTCTTCCTCAGCACAGTCACACAACTCTGGATCTACATCGTCGGATTCCGGGCATGTTTCGTCCTCGTCTCCTGTTGGATTTCTTCTTTCATTTAGTTGGTTCTTGTACCAAGCGAAGGTTTCATTATCTTCCCAGTCTTCTTGATACTTTTTTAATAGGGTTTCAACGTTTTCAAGCTTAATTTTTTTAATGCTATTGCACAGTTCAATTGGCTTAGGTTGGTAATTTTCTAATTTCGCACCTCGTTGCAAGTAGTTCTGTTACTTTGTATCGTTGTCTGTTCTGTAGAAGACTTCTAATTTTGTCAAACACTTTTCACGAACCCTTTTCAAATGAACTCGCTTTACTTCTTGTATACCACTGATTCTCTTGAATTTTGTACTAGAAAAATTCTTACAATCCAACAAGTACCAATCTTGTTCCATCACTTGAACATTCCCAACTTCTCCAAAGATATTCCAGTATTCTTCCTTAGTGGTAATTTCAGACCGCTTACTGCAGATCATCTCTACCCGACCGAATACTCTGTCTGCAGGTAGATAAGAATGACCTCTCACCGGAAAATACAGGACCACTTCTTCAATATGTTTAGGTGCCTTAGTGGAAAGCCAAAACATCAACATGTGGATGATAAAAGAATTTTTATTTTGTCTTCCGCATCCATCGGCGAATAGTCTAACTCTCTGGAAACTCGCGATTTGTCAAGAAATGGTATATGGCTGATCCTATCTCATTCGGTTCCCTTTTCGCTTGATTCTCTGTATAAGTATAAAAGTAAGGATGTCTTGTACTAGGTTCTGTTATGCAAAAGTTGTATAGAGCAAGTTGACGTAAATAAAATGCTTCCCCTATGTTCATTTTAGGCAACGCTTGGACTTGCTGCAAGTCAAAGCATACTGTGAAGCTGTTCTCCGGAATTGCTTTCAAAAAAAGGTGGAATTGTTTAGCTCTCAATTTATGAATTCTCAGCTCAGTAATATATTTTCCGTTCATAGCTGCATTCTTTGTGGATCTAATTGTATTTTTCAGACGGGTACATAGACTACATACATCTTTTGCGGGATTCCCAAAGCCGAGATTGAAATAGCGCACAAAAATATTATAAAAATAACGACGCGAGACTTTTAAATTCAGCTCTACAGAGTTATTATAAAGTTTTGATAGTTTCGCAATATTCAAGTCAGATGAAAGATAAAGTCTCTTCGATTTCTTATGATTGTTATGACTTTCACATGCATGAAAATTCCCAATGAATTTTTTAAAACTGTTTTTCTGCTCCTCGTATTTTTTGCTTCTCCGATCACCTCCCCTTCTCTCAATTATCTGCCCTTCTGCCTTCTTTTTTCCGATAGTAAGGATATTCCGTTGTGAGATCTTCAAAGCAGCCAAAAACATCTTTTGACACACTAACAGCCTCTTAGAGTTAATATTTCTTAAAAAATAATCCAGCCTAATTGCTTGGCCTTTATTTGTCAATGTTTCTTCACTTTTTTTCCTTTTAGGATGCTTAACTTCAATCAAGTGGGCTATTTTATTATCTATTATCGTTTTTACTGGTTGTCTATACACAAACTCTCTAACACGTTTTACATCCTCTGTAGAAACTTCATGACACTGGAGTGCAGTTTTTAAATGCTTGCACTTCACTTCAAAATCTTCAGCATTAGGCATATGATTCGTGTATCTAAAACAATAAAAAATATAAAACAACTCCGCTCACTTGCTTTTATATTCAAACTTACCGCATTTTTTTGCCCTTTCTCGTTTAGACATAGTTCTTTTTCTTTTTCTCGAACCATCAGATGCGTCACTAGCACTAGACTACTATCATCCATTTTTAATTTCGAAATATTGCGTAATTTAGCAGCAACAGATCGCAAAAGTATAACACGCACACTTCGTAACTGCCGGTAAACATTCAAAGAAATACTGCGTTTTGTCGTGCATGTGTAATTTTGATCAGCAAGTTAAGATTTGAAAATTTGCGCTATGATTTTCCAAGCATGGAGTAATAAATTGCGTTTAGTTACTCCTAGTTGAAACAAAATACTGCGCTTTGTAGAACACCACAATAATTCACTAGCTATTACAAAGGGAAAAAACTGCAGTTTGACGTATTTAATTCGGTTTATCGGGTAGAGGACCATTGAAAATATACGATCACATGCCTAACCCAGATTTGCCAATTTTTCAAAAACTGCGGTTTGTAGATCACCTCCTCAAATACTTTACTGTACTTTATTAAGAAAGTGAATTTTTTTCGAAATTTATGAAAAAAAAAATGCTTTGAAAAGTGTGCTCCGTGTTACCAACCGGCAACCTCTTGTGTCGTGTTCAAAGGCATACAATAGAGGGGATGATTAAGAAAACAAAATCGAGTTGAAAAACTTTTCTTCTAAGCATACAAATCACATTGCACAGTACCAATGCCAGTACCATTGCAACGTATTCTTAAATTTCAGTATGAACTTTTTTCATTTTGAATAGGATCCTTGGTAACTGTCCTCTGGCTCAATGTTTGAAAAATCCTATAAATGGTAATTTTCAATTCTTAAAGACAGAAAATTTATCTTTCGTCGTTGTCAAACCCTCCCCTACACGGCCCCGAAAAGTATGCTAACTTTACATTCAAGTAACTTTTGATCTTGTTTGTTAGGCTAACAATGACGAACTGATTTTCGCAGACTCTACAAGTCATATACCATCCAAAGAACATAATTCCTCATTTTTTATTTTTTTTGCGGGCAGACAGACAAACAAATGGACGGAAATAGGTGTCACGATGTTCCGTAATGTACGTATGTAACGTTCAGGATATCATAATAAATCAATTTTGAAATGTTTCGCGACTACAATACTTCCTTGCCTGTAGACGTGGATAGTGAAAGTGAAATTCTAATGGTAGCACCAGTTACTAACAGTAGTTCATACTAAAATTGCCATTATCTTAGTTTACCTGTGTATGTGACCTCAGAAGATCAAGCCGGGATAAAACTTGTACTTGCCTGTAATCAGATAGTGATGCTGAAGATATTTGAGGAGGTGCCTACCTTTGCTATACAGGGTGTTTCAAATTCTACCGTCACCATTGGGATTTTGGAAACTGTTTTGATATTCAAAGTACTTCCGAAAAAATGTTTCGTGACCTTATTTGTTGTGGGTTTTCAAAATAAATTACACATTATCATTGCCAGTTTTTCTCCTCTACAAGGTGCCATAATTAGAATTTTAATATGACGTTTCGACTCTTGTACTCCAACTTTTTTTATAGACGCCACGCCATTGATTTTAGCACAGATGAATAACGTTTTTGATTCTGATTCCAAAAATGTATAATACGTTATACATTGACGTCGTAAAACCTTAGCTGTTTCGAAAAAGCAACCAGACCTTGAAATAATTAGATAGTCATTCGTTTCCCCTGCCAGATTTATCCCGAAATCACTTTTATTGTTTCCTTTTATTATTTGAGATAATTGAAAATGTGACTACGCCATCTTGTAGAGGAGAATATAAGTAACAATGGCAACAAGCAATTAATTTTGAGATCCCATCTCGAATAAAGTCAGGAAAAAATAAAAATAATTTTGTGATAAATCTGGTACGCGAAAAAATGACTATCTAATAACTTCAAGGCCTAGGAAATTCTGTTTTTTCTTTATTCAACTAATGTTTGGAGATGTCAATGTGTGAGGTATTTTGAATAATTTGGAAAAATACATAATTAAAAACTCTATTCATCTTTGCAACAAAAATCCAATTTGGGGTCCATAAGAAATAAAAAAGTTGATGCTCAAGAACAAGACACGAAGCGTCATATTGAAACTTTAGTTATTCCCTGCTGTAGAGAAGAAAAGTGGCAATATAATTATGCAATTTATTTTCAAATTCCACTTCAAATAAAATCACGAGTAGATTAAAATGGCTTTGGAAAAATTCCGTAACTACTTTGGATTTCTAAACTTTCTTAGCGGCATTTTGTTGATTACCTAATTTAAGCTACTTCAAATCTCGGTCTGTCATCTTCCTTACGGTATAATTTCAGAAACTACTGTACCAATTTTAATGGTTGAGGCCGGATTTGCTGATATCTTGACTAGTAGTACATCGATCTTAAGAATAGATACCAACGTAAACAGGACGATAGTGAGTAGGAGAATGGTGACACATCTTCAATATGTAGGTGTAACATAAAACGTAAAAGGAGACTATCAGAATGGAAGGCTTATCCGCTTGTGTGTGATATGTAAATCCTAGTTATTAAACTGGAAATATTTTCTGCATAATGCCATTTACACCCTTTGTAATCGCTTATCAAATGAAGCCTTTTACTTTCAAATTATTTTCACTTACGTAGGCTGACCAATCTCGATGCTATCATGGTTATGGATAACTGGCTTCACTTGAACTTAGCCTATGCTTCTAAAGCCAAATTGGAATTGAACCCCATCAAGATCAAACGGTTAATTATAGAATTTTATGTGCGCTAATTTTATAACTCACATATATTAAGTACATTTAGATGTAACCACTACCCTTAGCATTAAACTCATCGCCCCTTCGCTAAACGAAACTATTCATATGCGTAAATTCTGGAACCATCACGGACCATGAAAGGGTTTTCTGGTTATGAAAATTACTCATTTAGGATTGATCGCATGCATGAAATGTGTTCTATTAAATACGAGTATTTCAGGACATATGCCTTTTAGTCCATCATTTACATGTTTCTTTTTACTTTAATACTTGGTTGTTGTTTAAAAGCCCAAAGTTAGCGACTTTGAGTTCTTTGGCTAAAATGCGCTCATTTTAGAATATATAACTTACTATTTTGGAGAGCATCATCGCAACAGTTCCTTCTTTAGATCTTAAAATATACTACGAAGCAAGAGATGCATTGAAATACATATAAGATATTCGCTGACTATCGACACTAACCTTTTATATGTACAACTACATTTGTGATTCTTATAAGATGTGTTATACATTTCAATACTTCATGCCCTATGGATGATGACTGTCTGAATAGTGGGCAACACTTCGCTAACAGGCACTCTCACATCGGATAGCGGTCGGGAGCTGGTTCGATGCCAGTTCGAATCATCACATTATGTAGTCTAATCATATTAGACGAAAATACCCCTGGTTTGCGAAATAATTGTAAGGTCTGGTTTTATTGATGCAAGTTGTTCAGGAGGGTATATAAAACATGGACGCATAAAATGGGTAGACCAATTTTTGTGGGAAAACTTTTAATTCGACAACAAAGAATGAGAAAACATGTTTTTTGTTATTTATGAGAGCCACAAAATGTGTCCACATGTAAAACTATACTACTAGTAGTTGACGATAATTGAAATTCTTTAAATACGTAGGCTTCATACTTCTAAATAACCACAACAAAATTCGATTGGTCAAGTAGTTTTTGAGAATTTATAATTCTTTATCCCAAAACACCTGAATTCCGGCCATCATTACTATTTTACTGACCAATATACAGGGTTTGTTGGAAAAACATATTATAGCAAGATACACAAATTTACTTTGCCGACATGAATTACAAACGATTCTGAAAGATAATTGTTATTGTTATGCGAAAAACGAAGGGTTAGGTTTTTTCTTCTAAACAAATTCAACCATTTCGGATACGTAAGTAACTGAACAGATTTGCTATATATTCGAAAAACATACATTATACACATTTTAAAATAAACCGGATGTGTCTATCACCCTTTATTACAAAGAAAACATTTTTTTCACAATTTCTTCATACTGCTGTCTATACATATTAAGAGCTGAAATTTTTACACGGTCATAGATGAGCCTCAAAGCTTAGCTGAACTGTTTATAAAGTTAGCACGCAACCTGAAGACACAATCGTGTTTCAAACTGTCTCAGACTAGTTAGTATGTAGCGTTTGCTAAATGGCTGCATTATTGATGTATGCATGACTTTGTCAAATAAGTAGCATCGTAGACTTTTTTTATAAAAGTATTAATACGATAAGTGTCTGTTTTCGGAATATCGCTCAACTGAAACGACTGCGAGTTCAAAATGTTGTAAAATAAACTCGAGAAAACAAAAAAACAGTAAGGAAATTGTAGCGAACTGGCCGTCTTCAAAATTAGGCAAAATGCTCGGTATTAGTCCCTGATACATTATTCAAAGATTCAGCATTGTATCTTGAATGGTTTTCCAGAGTACTATAGTGGTTTATAACAAACTTGATATGCGTGCAATGTTCGTTTGACATTTGTCAGTGTCAGATATAGTGGTATAAGGATCCAGCATACCAAGGGGCGTCGAGGTGTAATGGGATGTGAAAGATTCATTGGCATTTTGGATTTATTAACCACAGCAACCACAATGCTGCTTATTTTTTATTTATTTATTATTGTATTTCACCACTAACTTGAGGTAATCAACTTGTAGTGCATTAAACAAGCTTTCACTAGCGACAGGTGAATACAGACATTTTACCGATAAGTATCTCTCTCAGATAATATACAATAAAAGTACACATAATGTGAAAAAGCATTTATTTCTCCAAATTAAAAAAAATAGCAGAGAGAAGAAGAGCTTTGTGGATTCGAACCTCCATCCTGCGGTTCTGCAACCGTCAAGCCTTTCTATTACGCTACGACGCCTCTTGGTTTACTGAATCCTTATACCACTATACTTGACATTGACAAATGTCAAGAGAACGATGAAGGCATGTAAAATCTGTTATAAACAACTACAGTACTTTTGAAAACTGTGCAAGATACAATGTTGAATCTGAAACAATGTATTAGAGACTAATACAAGATGCAATGCTGAATCCTAATAAACCATATATTAGGGACTAATAACGAAGATTTTTGCCTAATTTTTTAGACAGTCAGCTACAACTGGTTAATATTTGTCTACTGTTTTTT